GCGATATTTAAGCTTGTGTCTGATTTATTTCATGTAACATTGTGGTCTCAGGGTGCACTGACTTTGTTTGCTGCAAGGTTGTTTGTTCAGTAAACATTTAAGATTTATCACTTCAGGAAGTGCTTTTCATTAGCTAGTTCCTGAATGGTAGCCCTGTGTTACTGTGGGGTGCTGAGTCCCCCCTCAAGGGTACTTGCTCATTTCTTTCTCCTGTGTTAAGTTTTAGTCCCCACACAGGGTCCCAGATGGCTGAGCAAGATCCGGCTTGGTTCCTGCTCATCACTTACTGGCTCCTGTATTTCTGGTCCACGGTAATGCTTACCTTGTTTTTAAATCCAGTTACTTGCTTTTGGACTTTGTCTCTTCCTAAATATATTTTTGTTACTGTAGATGCAATGGAGAATTTGTAACACCATCCGATGGAAACCCTGAGGTTCTCAACATGCATACTCTACAATGCTGTGTTAAAGCAGGTGGATAAATGATTAGGGCATTTAAAATCTATCCTTGGATTAAGACCTGGGAGTGGAGAACCTGACTGCTTTTACTCTACACCATCCACTTACAGCCAGAGTCAGACCCTGAGCAGCCTGAGGAAGCTGCTGTGAGGTTTTAGAGGTGTTAAGGACTCTGTTCTTTACAGACAGCCTTTGAAGAATTAAAGAGTCTAAGGAATAATAAGCAGTGGTAGGAATAATTATGCTGGTGGGGGGCGCTACACACCGACGTGTACCTGCAGTTCCCTCTGCCATTGGCCTCAGGATGTTCAGAGTCAGTTACCCATGGGTGGCAAGCACACCTCACATTTTAGGTGCTGATCTACCTTCAACTTCTGTTCCTGTCCTTAACAAGGAAGTTATTGTGTGATGTATGTAATTTACCTTACACGCATGCCCAGCTGGCCGGGACGGAGGCTGTCCGAGCGCCTGCCTGATCCTATTGCCCGGAGGTGCCTCTTAGCACACGCTGCCTTTTTATGTTACAAACACAGGCTCCGTCCCTTTCTCAGCCGTCTCTACTCCCCAGGCGGGTAGGTTGCACTGGCTGGATCAAGTCAAGAAGCCAGAGGGCTACCGCACCCTAAACTACCAATCACGATACCCCCCTGCATGCCGACAGCATCTCAGCATCTTCTCTCCGCCTCCCCGCCGTCCCTTTCACTCTCTCCTCCCACTCGGCCTGTGTGGCCTCCACCACCTCCTCATCCTTCCGCGGGTGCAGCCTATGCCTCCCTGACCCGGGTGACCCTCATCACTACACCCAGCCCAGGCCAACCCTCGCATCCCCAACTTCTGGCTTGGTCTCCCGGCCTTGCCAACCCCACTCCTGTTCACCCTCTGTACCCCATGACAGGGGATACCAACACTCGGATACATGAACACACACACACACTCCCACTCACCCGCCCATCCATCCATCCTACAGGCACCCAGCACACAGAGGCTCCGCGTCACGCACATGCGCACACGCACACACTCCCTCAGGCCCCTCCGGATGCCTCACTACGGCCCGCCCGTCTCTTCCGGCCGGCCGGGGCACGGCGTGGCACTGGCTTTGGGGCTGGGCCCAGCCGAAAGGGGCGTGGCCACGGGGGCGTGTCCGACATGGGGGCGGGGCCGGGCCACGGGGCGGGCCGCGGTAGACGAGCGTCCGGCCTGGCGCCGGCCATGCTCATCACGCTGTGCTACCTGTACCTGTGGGCGCGCTGGGGGCGCCGGCCGGCCGCGCTCGTGCTCTCCACGGTGCGGCAGCTGCGTACCTCGCGCTGCTCCTTCACCTTCTGTGGCGCGGCGGCGCGGCCCGGGGACGCGCGCGTGTGCCTCAGCCGCGGCGGCCGCGTCTTCTGCGTCGGCGAGAGCCAGGTGGGCGGGCGGAGGCGGGGCGGGGCGGGGGAAGCACCGCGAGGCCCTGCGCCGCTGCCCGGGTAACCCTGCAGTTGCCCGAGGCGCGCGCTCGCGCGTCCACGCGGTCCCAGCCAGGGAGGGGCAGGGTGTCCTCTGTTGCTGTCAGAGCGCTAGTACGGCTACTGCTTGGTGGCCAGCGACCGGTCCTAATCTCTCCTAAGCAGTTTGGGCCGGCCTGGGGGACTCAAGCTGGACGGCCCAGGGCTGGACCCCCAAGTTCAGTTCCCCCTGGGAGACAGAATCTGCCCTTACCCTCTGCAGCTGCAGTGTCTGCGTCCTTTACTAGCAGGGGCTCACCGCAGATTCTGCATCCTCAGCATCTCGGATTCTGCTCAGTGCTTAGGAAGGCGGCTGCTGTCCACTGAGTGCCCCTTTCTCTGAATCTACTCCCTGCCTGCCCGGGACCTAGCCTTGCCATTCAGTTGTGACTTTACAGCGCGCTTCCACGCACATCTCTCGTGGTCCTCACTACCACGGTGCACATGGACACAGGACAGGTGTCAGGCTTCGGGGTGGCTTGCTGGCCCTTTCCTGTTCCTTCTGCAAAGTTGGTGCACTTAGCATCCTTTACCCGGGTCCAAGCTTAACTACCATTTCAGAGTTGAATGTGTCGAAGCTGCGCCCTAGGTATGGGATGGAATTGGGCCCCACCAAATAAAAAGGTATCCTAAATCAAGACAGTATGTATTTACACACATTGAGTATGAGCTTCCTCAGTTTTCCGAGGAAAGTAGATGAGTATCACCCACATAACCATCACCGCCTAGCCCCAAGGGGCAGTGTGCTCTCATTTCATTAGATTAGATGCTTGGGCCTTACGATTAATTCTCCTAAGAAGCTGATTGAGGAAGATAAAACGAGGAAGAATTGAGGGGTGAGCTTTTCTGTTATAGTAGTTTCTATGCTGGTTCATTTATTTAAAAAAAAACCACTAGGCTGTAGATCAGCGTAGAAGGTTTAAACATACAAAAACGTAAGAGATGGGCCCTAATTTTCTCAGTTTTACTTTTGAGCCTCTCTCCAAGCCTGAGTCGGGGCAGCCTTGGTCTTTGTGGGCCTCTGCCGGGATGTGCTGTGGTTTTGTGTAGTTAGCTTTGCTTCCTCAAGCTACATGGGACTGCCTGTTCTGTGTCCTCACAGATTTCAAACCACAGTTCTTTATTTCTATTTTTTAGCTTCATCCTTGTTAGGGACTGAGTCTGTTTAGCTTATCAGCCTTGTTTGAAATGATTCAATCTTACAGTAAATAAAAGAATGCGTAAGTTTTTTATGCTGCGATATTTAGGGTCTGCAAATGGAAAGGCTGGCAATTTGTGATTAGCTACTGCTATTTTAAGACTGGAAATGTTAAAAAAAAGACTGGAAATATTATTGGGCTGATGTTGGATGCTGTGGATACCTTATTGTCAGCCTGCCTAGCTTGGATAACTTTACAGGACTGAATTGGAAAGCCCCTTTTTTATCCAAGTCAGACATACTAAATCCTGCACTGAAGGTGTACATTGTAAAACTAAAGGCTCTACTGTAAGCTGATAAGTATAACCAACATAGTTGATACAAACTGGATAGTTTAAGCATTTTTGTTTGTTTAATATATGTATTCTATGTTTGAATAGACAGTTTTTCAAAAGCTCTTTGATATTGAAGATTATATTCAATTGTAGAGGACAGTTTTCCTCCTCCAGATTAAAAAAAAAAATTTTTTTTTTGAGACAAGCTCTCACTATGTAGTTCAGGCTGGCCTTGAGCTCACTGTGTAACCCAGGCTGGCCTCCAACTCTGAGCTATCCTCTTGCCTCAGTCCCTTGGGTGCTGAGGTTACAGGTATGTGTCACCACGCCTGGCTCCTGTCCCAGATTTTCATTCATTAGTCCAGCAGGTATTGATGAAGTATTGGTAAGTGCCACGCTATGAGGCAAGGGCGTGTTGGAACTGATAACAATGGAGCTGACTCAGATACCCAAATGCCTTTTTAAAAAATGGAGATAGCCTCCCATCTCCTTTGATTTCAGCTTTTTCTGCTCTGAGTATTTCTCGTTTTTGCTAAGCGAAAGCTTTTTAAAATCAAATTGCTGGCTGAGGATATGCAACTCAGTAGACCTGGCAAGTACAAGGTCCTGAGTTCAATTCCTGACATACACACACGCATTACCCCCCCCCCCAAAACCCCACCCCCTCCAGGTACCACACTGCAGGTAGTCAAGGGCCTTAAATGAAAAGTGTGCTGTGGAACCTACACACACATGTGCTTTCTATACTTTTCATTCATCTCCTTATTATGATACCTAAAACTGCAGATGCTGTGTAAATACTTGTTTTATTACATTGTTTAGGGAATAATATGAAGGAAACAAAATCTGTACACGTCAGTTCAGATGTGGTTTTTTTCCTAAATATTTTTATTTGATTTCATAGATGCAGAACCACAGTGAGGATTTGACCCTATCCAATCTGCTAACCCATACTGTCTGTCATCTGCTTTAAAAAAACACTAAACTAAAATTAGTGGCCCCAGCTCTTGACTGGCATTTACATTTCAAATGTGCTTGCTGACTGACCTCCTTGCTTCTGATAAAGGCCTCTGCCCGGGACAGCTTACCCCAGGGCATGGGCGGTGTGAGTTTCAGGGAGACTGGGCTTCCCAGATCTCAGGAGAGGAGCAGTGTTCACTTCACTTTGAGCAGCAGATGCAGAAAGGATGAAGCTACCCGCTGCTGCTGGCTGGGACAACTGTGGGGATAAAGGGACATCTTTAGGCCTCTGTGGCCAGGCGGGCATTCCTAGGCCTCCATCCTTAACTGCATCCGAGTGTGATTCGCAAAGCACTTGCCTGCTAAGCCAGAGGATCTGTGGTTGGAACTAATGGTGCAAAAACGATATCTGGAGACTCTAAAGCTGCCTTGAGTCCTAGCAGGGCTTTGCAGCTGTCAAAGCAGTCAGGGCTGCACAAGCTGTGCAGGTGCAGGTGGCTGCTCTGGGGGAGCTGCTGATCGCTCTCGCTGGCCCGCACCTGTGTGGCAGCAGAGAAGGGATACATGGCAGCTGTGGTTCGAAGTGACACCAAGTCTTCTTTTATGTTTCTCTCCCACTGCACAGTCCATCGACAACCTGAACAAATGGGTCCTGTTTCTGGTCTCTCCCTTCGTACTTGAAGCGGAACACATAGCGTTTGTGACAGAAAGCATTTGGGAGCAAGGTGACAGTTTACAGAGACCGACGTCTGCAGAAACAGTGAGTACCATGTTTTTCTCTTATGCACTGTAAGGAAAGTATGTGTCCTAATCCATGTTTGTCCTTGATTTCCAATTTAAAATGTTAAATTAAATGATCAGTTTGGCTGAATCATACATAAGTTTTGATAGTGTAACTGTTTTTTTGTTTTCTGACCTTCCTTGGGCTTTTGAGTTCAGTTTACCATTCTTGTAAGTTTAGCAGATATCCGCAGTCACTTTTAAAGGAACTCTTTGAATACTATATATTCTATTCACAACCTGGAATACTTAAAATATTCCATTTTGAAACATTCTCATGTGCAGATTTAGTTTGTTAGCCTTGTTCAGAATGCACCCTTGTGATTGGTCTGTGCATGGCTCCCATTCAGCCATGAATTATGAGCTTTCCCATGGACATAAAAAAGACCCACAAACCATTGCTTGGGAAAGAAACTGGGACAGTGCCTGTGAAGAGCCCCAGGACCCTTCTCCTGGCTCCACCCTGTCCCTAGTTTCTTTTTTAGATGCCTACAAACACCACCTTTCTGAACACTTGCACAATCCTTACATATTATCAAACTTATAAATATGGTTGAGCTTGAAGTGTTTTTGTGTATCCTAATAATATATATGAATTTAGTAAGATTTCAGTTTACAACCAAAGCCAGGATTTCCACAATGACATAAAATATCAAGGATGCCCAGATTTCCTCTTTTTTTTTTTTTTTTTGTTTGTTTTTTTTAATTTTATTTAAGGAGAAAAGAAAAAAAAAAAGCAGGGAAAGGGTACAAGTTATACAGATTTACAGAAAAAAAATGAACAGTAGGAAATCACTAGTTAATGGATTACATATTGTCATCTTAGAAATAATTGTTCAAGTCACAAAATTAAAGCTTGTAAAGTGGACATTCCATCAATGATACTGCAAACAGTTCTGTTCATTGATCCAATAAAACTCTGTGATATCATTTTCTATCTTATACACTTAAATATACATGCAGTTATATAGTTTAGAGCACTTTCTTTTCCTCTCTTTTGTACCATGACTATTACACATTTTGGGTTTCATTGCTCCCACGGTTCTTATTACTTTTTTGGAAGAGAGTAAAACCAAATGTGATATAACAGAACAGAATCGGTCAAGTCAAAAGGGTGGACATAATAGATAATGTAAAAACATAATACAGGTGATCAACAATGGTTACCATAATGTCTCCCGCTATCTCTAATAGAATTGCCTATATCATTAGTTATAATACAATTGAACAAAACAGTAAAGAATAAAACCGACAAAACCAAAACATTGGAGACATTGTAGGTCTTCAAAAGTAGCTAAAAGTCAACAAGAATGGGCGTCATAATGAATCTCATTATCTTCACAGCTGATGCCTAAACTTTCGAACCTGATACTATCCAGCAAAACAGAATAGGGGAACATCAGTTAAAAACCAGATGGTGAGAGTAATACAGGGCTTTAAATCAAGGTAATGAAAAGTCAAAATGGGTTACTATAATATATCCTGCTATTTTTTTCCTTTAATTAAAAGGATAAAGATAAAAAAGTAAATAATGGAGTGGAGATTGAGATAAAAGAGGGCATAACAACGAAACAGCGCAGATCAAAACATAACCATTTAAGCAGAATAGTGTTTCACCACCAGATAATCCTAACCTAAAAGTAGTACCATATTGTTTCTTTCTTTGAAATCCTTGAGTACAACTTCGTATACTGTAGCATTAAGTATATCAAAACAATGTAAAACCATTCAAGAGAATGACAGCATTACAGAGTATTTAGAATCGACTAACAGAAAATGAACAATGGTTTCTGTATAATCTCCTTGTCTTTAAAAGGTTTTTGCTTATACTATCGTACATAATAAAATCCAATAAGATACAGCCTATTTAGACCATTGGAGACAGAAGGACAAAAGCTAGATGAGACTTCAAAACAAGATGATACTAAATCAGTATTACCTATTAAGATGTCATTTTCTCCAAAATAGCTGTTCCTATCATCCAATCTTCTCTGCCTCATTTCTGTTAAGCTCTTTTTCTGTCAGTAGCTGTCAATTTGTCTTCTTCATTTTGTTCTCTGCTCCATTTGTTGTGGCCTCCCCGCCACTATTTCTGGGTTCTTTGTATTTTTCTTTTTTTAGAATATCCTGCAATACTTTCTGTAGAGTTGAATTGGTGGTTGCAAATTCCCCCAGTTCCTCTTTATCCTGGAAGCACCTTGTTTTTCCATCAATTTCCAGGGACAGTTGTGCAGGATATCTCAATCTTGGCTGGAGATTATTATCTTTCAATGCTTGAATTATTTCCCCCCACGCTCTTCGTGATTTGATGGTTTGTGCAGAGAAATCTGCTGTAATTCTGATGGGTGTTCCCTTGTAAGTGGTCTGTTTCTTGTCTCTTACAGCTTTTAATATTCTGTTCTTGTATTGAATTTCTGGAATTTTTATTATTATATGCCTGGGTGTTGCTCTGTTTGGGTTGTAGGTAGCTGGGGTCCTGTATGCCTCATACATCTGAGTATCTTTACCTTTTGCTAAATTAGGAAAATTCTCCTGGATTATTTCTGTGAGTAGCTTTTGTAGTTCACTTGTTTGCATCCCTACTTCTTCTTTTATGTTCTTAATCCTTAAGTTATGGATCCTCTTATCATCTTCTTGTCTTTGTATTATTGCTGTTTGTTTCTTTGTTATTTTTAAGAAGTTTTTCATTTCATTCTCCCATATTACAAGTCTGCCCTCCAGTTCAGATAGTCTGTCCTTAGTTTCTTTCAAGCTGTTATGCCAGTCTTCGATAGACTTCTTAGTATCTTGGTAGTCCCTTTGAACCTGCTTCACGTATTCTATGCTTTCTCTGTTTTCTCCATCAAACAATTCTCCCCTTTTTTTCTGTTCTTCCATTCCACCACCTGTTTTTTCTTGGGTGATGCTTAGCATTTCTCTAACTATTCTGCATACTTCTAGCTTCAGGTCATTGATAACTTCATTCCTGAATTGGTCTATGAGGCTCTCTATATGGTGCCTTATGTGTATTGGTGCGGTGTCTGCTATTGCCTGTTTCTCAGAATTGGGGGCCGAGGAGCCTTTCTTGTTGCTGCCTCTTCCCATGCTGCCTCTTCTTCTCTGTTCCTTATATATGCAAGCTTATATAAGAGGCCCAGCTTCTCTCCCAGTCAGCCACAGCCTGATCGAATTGCGTCAGTTAGGTGTTCCCGCTCACCGCTGCGCACCAGGGAGTTACGGACCAGGCAGCCTACGCGTCTCCCCTCCCGGCCACCGTCAGGCTCTGGGATCTGGGTTGGGACAGTCTACCAGGTCCGCCGGGAGCGTCACGCAGGCCAGGCACTTTTCACCAATCCCGCCCGAGAGGGGGATGTGTGGCTGGAGTCACCACCGCGCCCTGCTCCCGCAGGACTGCTCGGGCCCAGAAAGTCCTCTGCTGGAGTCAAACTGTGGTAGAGTGTCAGTTTCTCTCACTCACCTCACCATAAGTCAGTGCACGCCTCCCTGCCGTTCGCAGATTGCCGTTCTCAGAGCTTCTGTGTGTCTCTCCCCTTGCCGAGCCGCTGTAGAGGCAGCCAGCCGCTGTGCGGCGGGAAACCCAAATCGCGGCTTACAATGGCGCGGTTCCAGCCTCCACACCGAGTCTTTTCTGTTCCTGTTTTAACACCAGGACTGCATTCCAAGTTGGCTTCTCTCAGCCCAGTTCGTTCCTGAGTCAGCAGAGCATATCTCCACCTGCTTATGTCTCCTTAGTCCGCACCATTCCTGGCTTCTGAGCCGAGTCTTTCAGAGAGCCGCCAGTAGTTGCTGTTATCTGTCCGCCATGTTCTCCCGGAAGAGTCAAATGGCAACTTAATTGTGTGTACTGAGCAATTGGCTAGATCTTACATCTTTGACATCCTCCATAATATATTAAAAGATCACTGTGTGTCTTTCCGGTCTGCAAGAGTCCTTCCATGAGGCCTGTAGGCCGTAGAAGTCTCAGTAAGCAGTCTAGCCGGGACAGAAATTCTCAGCACTACGTTGTGGTCAGGGCAGCCATGACACCAGAAGTCCCAGATTTCCTCTTAACAGGAAAACGTAACTGTTGCTTTTTTGTTTCTGGTCCTGAGCTTGAACCCAGGGCCTCCTGCACGCTAAAGTACACACTGTCCCCCTGAGCTGCATCTGCACTCCCTTTTAATTTCCTAAGTTATTACTTCATTGTGCATCCTATGACATATGGTGTCTTTGTTTTTGGAGGTAGCATCTGGCAATGTACAGTAGTTCAGGCTAGCCTTGAACTCATGGCAGTTCCCCTGCCTCAGCCTCCTGGGTACAGAGATTACAGGTGTGTGCCACCACATGGGATAACATGAAGTATGTTAAAGAACAAGGTTACCATGTTATGTAGGGTACAGGCTATGCTGCTTGTCAAAGAGACCCAGAGCAGGCAGGCATGACACAAGCAAGCTTGACGTTAGTTTCTGCCTCTGCCAGGCTGTCCAGGGGCCTGTCTCCTTGCCTCTTGGGGTGGCTGCATACTTCAGGAGGGTGGCTGTGCACCTGTGCCACACGTGTGTGGTGCTAGGACCAGGGCTGGAGGGAGAGCCCTGTCGGAGATGTGGGAGCTGCGCTCAGAGCTGATGGCCCTGCATGCTGAGTGCTGGTGAAGCTGAGGCTGGGGTTTGGCGGAGGAGGTAGGGAGGACTCTCAGAGGAGATAGGGAGGACTTTCAGGGCAAGTGCTGCCCATGCTTTAAGGGGAGGCCGGGACCCACAAGTGGCAAGAGCTTTCCCATTGGAACAGCATGCAAGGAGCACATGGCTCAGTGCTCAGAGCACATGGAGGGAGCAGCCCAGAGATAGCCAGGGAAGTGGGGCTGCAGTGCGGTGTAGGCCATTGTCCTGATGCTCTGCTGACTTCCCATGACACAGCTGGGTGGCCCTCCCAGTGGTCACTGGATAAAAGCCAGGATGCTCGAGTGCCAGCTTACGGAATCAATTAACAGCAGGCAGTGAGATGCAGCAGTGATCCCGGATGTGTTGATGGCTTGGATCCTGAGCAGCGGGGTCGAAGGATCGTGCGAGGCTCATGCAGCCTCTGTGCCTCCGCTGTGCCAGCCCTTCCTGAAAAGCCCACTAGTGCCCATTAAAGCTGGAGTTGCCCTCCTGGGCCTCTTGGACACAGGTTCTCAGCTGAGCTATGCATGTCCCCCTGTGTGCTGTGCTAGGCTGCTGCATCGAGCCCAGGGCTTGGGTTACTGATTAGTTTCTTCATGCGTGTGAGAAACCCTGCTGTTTAGGGCCAAGCAGGGCTTCCTCAGCTTTGATCTTTGGGTGCAAGCCTTTTGCTTTGCTTCCCCTTTCTTCCTCTTCCCTTTGTCTTCATCTTCCAGTGTGGATTTGAAGTGTCCTGTTTGCTTTTGTCCCCTGCAAGCCCATCCCCCTGGATGAGGTATCACTGACCATGCAGCTTTGCTGGCTTTGCTTTGATCGTGGTGCCCAGGGCTGCTTGAAGGCGTTTGCATAGTCTGTGGCTCCCGGGCCTCATTCCGAGAGAAAGGAAGTGCAATGGGGTGAGGACACAGTTGTCTTGGCTGAGAAACATGATCAGGGATGTGTGCCGATCATCCTTCGGCCCCTTCCTGTCCTTCCATCTCCTTTGTCTCCTGTGTCTGTCCACCCCAGAGGAGAGGATGGAATGCTGGACTCCCTTTATGGGGTGCTGACTCAGCATTAAGCAGTGGACCCCTGGCTCACATGGTGACCGTGGGCAGAGGCAGCTGAGGGCTGGGGAGGGGGGCTTGCAGGCTCCTTCCTGCAGGAGTTGCACCCTCTCTCACCCACCCAGTCCGCAGAGCCTGCCCTGGTCACTGGTCAGTGCATCTCCTCCTCCGATACCTTCCTGCATTCCCAGAGCACCAAGGCCCCACAGCGTTGGTCTGGGTTCTGAGCTTCAGCTCCACCTGCGCCTGGCCATCAGCTTTGAGATGGAGACTTCTTGAGATGCCAGTCAGCTCGTGCGGGGTGCCCTGGCCTGGCTGTGGGACAAGTGGGTGACAAATGGAGGGAGGAAAGTTCTGAGGTTTGTCCTTCTCCAGGCAGCCTAGGCCAATTAGTGTGTTTAGTATTACATGGTATTTTAGGACAGGGTCTCGCTGAGTTGCCTAGACAGGCCTAAACTGTGATTCTTCTACCTCGGCCTCGCAGAGTGCTGAGATTACAGGTGTGTGCCACCACACTTGGTTTATTATTGTATACAGCATTAAAAAAAAGATTTTCAACCTATGATGAATGTTATCATTATGTGTAGCCAGAATGTAGCAATAGAATCAAAATGCAAGAAAACCCGCTACACTTTTCAGCAGGAGTTAGCTCTACAACAGTCCATCAACCATGGAAAAATTGAATTCAGAATTACATGTTTCTGATTATGCAAGTTGAGGGAGCCATGTGTGCATGCCTGTAATCCCAGATTGAAGCAGTAGGATCACCTGTAGTTCAAGGCCAGCCTGTGCTACATAGTGAGACTTTGTCTCAAAAAAAGAAAGTAAGTTGAGGGAGTCCAGAAATAGTTTTGGAGAGTCAGGGAAATCAGCCATGGCACCTTAGACTATAATGCTCATGGTTGCTTTTTAAAAAATAAATATACTTTAAAATATAAAGTATAAAAAATATACTGTATATTTTTTAAAAATTAATTTTGTTGCTATACTTTTGACATACACAATGATCACATTCATCATAGGGAATTTGTACAGTACATAATATTATCTTAATTTTTTTTCCTCATTCCCTTCCCTTTCTTTCCTTTTCCCTTCCCTTCTTTTCCTCTCCCTTTAGGAAATTTTGTTTCTATTGTTTTCCTTCTATTTTTAAACTTATTTTTCTTCCTAGTCCCTCCCTTTCTTTTTCCCTTTTCCTTCCCTGCTCTGTTCCCCTTCCTGTTTGAACATTTTCTTCCTACTTCCTGGTATCTAGCGCCCATTTTGGTCTTTATTTACCTCATTTTGGTTTCTCACACAACAGAAACAATGCAGTCCGGTTTATTTCACTTAAGAGCGTGGTCTCAAGGTGCATTCATTTACCTGCTTATCTTCTCTAGTGCTCTATAGCATATAAAAATAATGTTTTCTTTATCCATTCATCCACTGATGTGCATCTGGGCTGCTTCCAAGATTTAGCTATTACAAATTGTGCTGCTATAAAAGTGGGTGGGCATACACCACTGTGTATGATGTTTTTAACTCTTTTGGGAAGATACCTAGAAGGGGAATATCTGGATCAAATGAAACCTTTCGTATTAGTTTTCTGAGGAATCTCCACACTGATTTCCATATTGATTGTACCAATTTACACTTCCACTAACAGTGGAGAAATCATTAGATTTTTTTGAGACAGATCTCACTATAGCCCAGGCTGGCCTTGAACTCCTGACCAGCCTTCTGCCTTAGCCTCCTAGGTCCTGGGATTGCAGGTGTGTGCCACCACACCTAGCTTTACTGTTGCTTATAAAGCAGGTGTATAATAGGTAATGGAAACAGTCCCCATCCACGGAGCCCTTTATTCTGTCCCAAGCTTTCTACAATAGGCGGCTTTATACACATTCTTTAATCTTTTCCACTCATAACCCTACACCATGATGGGTGTAAATGCTCTGTGGTTTGCAAGTTCCCAGTGAGGAAGCTGAGAGTGCAGAGGCTTCTCCAGGCGCAGCCCACTGTGATTTCAGAGTTTGAGGCAGGTCTTCCTACCCACTGGCTCTCTCTTCTGTTGGGTATCCTGTGAACCACCAGCTCTGAAAGCCTCTTTTGCACAATCCCAAAGATCTGAAGGCCTGTGTTGGGTCAGCTTTTTCTCCGTCCCCCTTCTGGTGGCAGTTTGAACTGTCTGGAACTGTTGACAGCCATCCTGGCATTTCTCCTTGGTGGTTCCCTGAAGCCCTGGGCTGGCCACTGGAACCTCCTGATTCCCAAGATTGGAGCTGCAGCAGGAATCTGTGGGCCTAAGGTACCTTCAGGGGTTCTGCTGGCCTGTACTCTTCTGGCCACCTGAGATTTCATGTGGCCTGCTGAGGACCAGTGGGAGGGCCTCCTCTGTGCTAAGCAAGCTCTCTGCCAAGAGCTGCGTCCCCAGACCCAGGGGATTACATTTGAAGTTGTCCTACTCCCTTTCTCCTCACTGAGACCCAATAGCTGACACCCACAGTTTAGAGGAGGTTTATTTGGGCTCATGTTTGTGGAGGGTTCAGTCCATGGCAGAGTCGCACAGTGGAAGGACCTGGGTGGAAGAGAGCTGGTACCCAAGAAGCAGAGGAAACAGATGACTCTCACAGGACATGGCCCTGTGACTGACTCCTACCCCACACAGGAAGTCAGCTGTGATCTCCACAGTCACCTTCCCGAAGCCCCACCCACTAGTGCAGGGAGGCTCCTGGATGTCCAGACTTAAAGCCTAATGGAAGTCACGGGATTGTGGCTTTGTCCTTTCTTCCTGGTCCCTGTCACTGGAGGCTCCTGGGGAATGGCCTGTTGCCCTGGTGGGTCCTTTTAGCAGCTGAGACTGCAGTTACTTTTAATTGAGAGAGTTGTATTGAGTGACTTGGAAGCATGCTGTCAGCTGCACATGAGAACATTTGGGCTGAAATAATGGATTTAGTTACATTAAAATGCAATATCCATGGGCTGGAGATTTAGCTCAGTGCCATAAGCATCTGCCTGGCAAATGCAAGCGAGGTCATGAGTTCAGTCCCTGGTACCCCCCCCCCCAAAAAAAAGCAAGCAATGTCCAGTAATTGTTGCGTGTGACTGTGAAGAGCCAGAGAGGAGAGGTACAGCCATCCTTTTAGAGCTGGAAAATGTCAGCTCATCTCTTCTTCCTCCTTTCTCTTAGCTTGTCAAGTGGTCAGACTGCTGCCTGCCGTTGGCATGCCGGCCTGGGGATCCCTACCAGGTCATCGCTGAAGCCAGTGTGGACGACTTTAGCAGGCTGGGGGTGGCGTTCATGGAGGACAGGCTCCGGATGGAGAACGGGCTAGTGCCCCAGAAGATTGTCTGTGAGTGACTTCGGGCTGTGTGCTCCCCAGCTGTGGGCGGGTTACTTGTTGGGGTGCAGGGAGGGGGGCGGCTGGTGGGCACTCCTCTTGGTGTGAAGAGGAGTTTCAGTTTAATTCAGCCAGCAGGTTTGATTTCATCCTAGAAGTATAAAATCCACAGAGGTGTCAAGAGATTTGGAAGCAAGGGATAATGTATCATTAGTGTTTTAGGATTTGTTAGAATTCTTTGTAAAATTTTTTATTTTTATTTTTTTGTGACACTAGCAGTTAAACTCAGGGTTTTGCAATGACATATGTCTCCTGTTTTTAATTTCCTAATTTTTTTTAACTTTAAGAAAGGGTGTCGCTAAACGGGCCAGGCTAGGCTCAAACTTGTGACCCCTGCCTCAGCCTCCCAGAGTGCTGGGATCACAGGTGTGCACCACAGCAGCAGCTTACATCAGGATTTTTCAGAACAGTATTCCGTGTGAGCTTGTATTCAAATTCAGAATGCTTACTTATTTCACACAGTATGAATAGCTTGTAGACTGTGGTTTTGCTGAGTGGGAAGCGTAGTGTTACTACGAAGTTCTGAATCTTAACAGCTTTTACTTAAAATATGGACATCCCAGGTTTTGGGGACAAATCTTTTCTTTTAGGCAACATGCAAACTGTTCCTCCTTAGGCTTACATGCAGGCTTTCTGTGTCTGTGAAAGTTTCCATTTATATCATAGGCAGTTGGGAAATCTGTGTGAATTACTGTTTGCTGATTTGCCCAGTACTGTGTTGCTCATGTAGCAAGCGCTCAGTCTTTTTCTCCTCGCTCTCCACCCACCGCAGACAGTGTCTGTCTGTATAGCTCAGGTTTGCCTTGAACTCCTGTGGGACCCAAGCTGGCCTTGAGCTCCATGTCTGCAGGATCCTCCTGCATAAGTCTCTCCAGTGCTAGAGCCTCAGGCTTGTCGCTACACCTGGCTCAGCACATGTTTCCTGAATTGGTGATCATGGCTTTGTGCTCCAGTCCAGAGAGGAGACACTGTGGAACCCTTCTGCCTTCCACATCCTGTGAGGTGTCCTGAGCATGACATCCCTGGGCTGTGCTTGGATCAATCATCTGTGTGACCTTTGTATTTCTGTTTCATCACCATATAGGAGAATGACATCCAAGACCCTGAAATTTTAACTAAGTAGGCAAAGTCATCTCTCTACATCTTTGTTTCTTCACCAGTCAATAAGAGAATTCTAGCCAGGCACAGTGGTGCACATCAGAAATCTCTGCACTCTGGCAGGCTCAGACAGGAGGATCATAGGTTTGAGCCCAACCTGGAAAATTCTTTCTTTTTTCAGTGCTGGGACTTGAACTCATGACCTTACACTTGCTAGGCAGGTGCTATGCTGCTGAGCTATATTTCAGGCATGGGCAAGTTCTTAATGAGACCCTGTCTGACAATAAAAGTACATAAATTAATTAAAAAAAGAGGGGGCCTGGGATGTAGCTCAGGGCAAAGGTCCTGGGTTTCAGTCCCCAGTACTCAAAACATAAAAAGAGATCCGAGGCTGTCTGATTTGTGCAGGAAAGACGCTGTGAAAACCTGGAGTTTCCTGTGGCTCTGGGCTGCCCCAGAATGGAGGTGGGGTGTGCGGGAGCAGGTGGTGGGATGCAGGGTGTGGCGCAAGCTGACCGCTCTTCCTGCTCTCGCCCTAGCGGTATACTTGCAGGACTCTGCTCTACAGGAACTCGCAGACCAGGCCTCCTGCGGCCGGGCCGCAGCCCTACTGCCCCGCGCAGATCTCTCCCCAGAGACGGAGCCCACCCTGGACGGGAAAGACAGTTCGGAGGCCTCTGGAGATGGCACCTCTGAGCCGAGCAGTGAGCCCACTGGGGACAGTGAGCCCGCGGGGGACAGTGACCCCCATGGCCTCACCGAGCACCTACACCTGCACCTGTCCAGCTGCCATGAGTGTTTGGAGCTGGAGAGCAGCACCATCGAGTCTGTAAAGTTCGCATCCGCTGAGGACATTCCCGAGCTTCCCTATGATGCCAGCGGTGGTCCACAGGCAGCCTCCAACGGGCTCAGCCAGGAAAGGGCAGGCAGGAGGGGCAACGCCGTGGGGAAGGCACCCAACATCCTCCTTTATGTGGGCTCCAGCCAGGACGCTCCCGACCAGCTGCAGCAGGTCCAGGCCCTCCTGGCAGACTGTGTGGACACTGACCGCTACCTCCTGTACCCGCTGCCAGAGGACAGTGCTCGCAGGGATCCATGGCTGGACCACTGCGTGCTGCTGGTCATCGCCACGAGGAAGCCCATCCCTGAGGATGTGCACCAGAAGTTCACAGCCTACCTGGCCCAGGGTGGGAAGGTGCTGAGCCTGTCTTCATCCTTTCTGCTCGGTGACCTGCGGATGACTTGCAAGGCTGCGCTGCAGAGTACCGTGCAGAACTTGGTGTTCTCTAAGGCTGGAGGGGGTGACCTGAGGCTCAGCGCACTGAGCAGCGGTTGTGTCTACAAGGATAGCCCCGAAGAGATCCTCGGCCCTGACAGGTTGCAGGGCCACCTAGAGAATGAGGACAAGGACAGGGTGATTGTGCAAGTGCCTTTCGGAGACTGTGGCGGGGAAGCCATCCTTTGCCAGGTACTGAGAGTGGCTTCCATGGGGCGCCCGGGCTCTGGCGGAGGGAGTGCCAGGGCTGCCCAGTAGAGGGCTCAGGAGAGCATAGCTGAGGGCTGCTAGGCCCGGGGCAGGGGGTTCTGAAGCTGATGGCGAGTTTGGGGAATCCCTGCCGAACCAACACGCAGGCCAAGAGAACGGGCCAGGCTGTGCTACGATCATGTAACCCAGGACTAGCCAGAAAACTCTTTTATTTTGGTCTTTACTAATAATAAGCTTTCTAAAACGTGTTAATTTAATTTCTTGTATGAAAGCACACCATGGCTGTAATGTCAAGCCATCATTTAACGTGGGAAATTGAGAGGTTTAGGATAGTCATTCTAAACAGCAGTGAATAGCCTGATAAAATATTGCAGTTGATTGTAGAGGTAGTGTTGAAACCATCCTTGAGAGCACTTGAGAGGCTGGGTTAGGTGGATTGCCATGAATTTGAATCCAAGGCCAGCCTAAACTACATAGTGGACCTTGTCTGAAAAAAAATCTTTAAAAAACCCCAAATATAAAACAAAACTAAAAATAACAACAACAACAAATCATCCTCAAATCCTCAATTTCTGTCTTATGATTTATCACTCTTCTTTTTATCAGTACCGGGGATTGAACTCATGATTGTCTGCTTGCAAGGCAGACGCTTAGACCGCTGAGCTAAATCCCCAGCCCCTGATTTATCACTCTTAAAATCTGAAGTGCTTATACTTATAATCCCAACACCTAGGAGGCTGAGGCAGGAGGATCTTAGATTTGAAGCCAGCTTGGTATACTTAGCAAGACCCTATCTCCAAAAACCAAAGCCAAAAAAACAAACAAACAAAAAAACTGCTGAGAAAAAGTCTGAATAAGAGACCATTGAAATGACTGGAAAGAGATGGCCTGTTCCTGAGTCGGGCAGTGGGACGGGGTGCTGTGGGGAGTGCTGACTTGCTCTGTGTAGGTGGGTGTTGTCTGGCTCCACTGCTTCTTCCCCGAAGCTTTTTGTTTGAGGAAGTTGCAAGACACAGTGCTTCAGCTTGTCACCATTTCCTGTCCTCTCTGAACACCTTGGGAAGAGAGTTTCTGTTGGAGTTGGTGACCAAGGGCTCCCCGTGTAATGATCCCGGGGGATGTGGGTGTTTTACCTGAAGGCTGGCGAAAGTGGGCAGCTTGGGTTTTGTTTTGTGCTCGGGATCTTCTTACCTGCCTAGAGAATGGCTTGTTTCCTGTTTAGCTTTCAGTTCTTCTTTTGTGTCTTTTTCCAGCCCTCCTCGAAGGTAAGGCCTGTTAGGTGTCCCTGTTTTCTTTGGGGATACCGAGAATCGAACTCAGGACCTCACAGGTATGGCACTGCTGAGCTAGATCCCTGCCCATTGTTTTTCTGGTCAGTTCTGCTGACACGCTGTATCGCTTCACTGCTTTTCTGTTCGAAGCCCACTCATTTGTCCTTGAGATAATCCTCGGGCAGAGAGGGCTTAGTGTTGGGCAGTGTGGCCTGAGGGCAGCTGTGCCAGCTTCCTGCAGAGCTGCGGGCCACGTGGGCTGGTGTTTGAGGCCTCCTGTTGCCCTTTTATCCTCTCCCTGCAAGTGTGTCACTGTGGGAACCATGCATTCTCTCAAAAGCCACCTAAAATCCTGGCTTCCTGGAACTGTTTCTGTTTGGAAGAGCGAGTTTGCCACTGCTGCACACCGACTTGTGCTGGGAAATGGATTCAGCTCTGTCGCCATCCAGTTCTCGCAGGGCGGCAGTGATCTGTGGCTGCGCTGCTTAAACCGAGCCCCCAGTGCTCTGCCCCAGGACCAGGGCAGCCAGTGCAGCTGGCCAGGCGGATCCTGAGGAGGAGGGAGGCTTTTGATTTTAAATGACTTACGTGTGACGGTCTCTTCTCAGGCCTGCATTGCTATGATACTGAGACCATCCAGTAAACACGAGTATAGGCTGCTTAGTTTCCCTTTCTTCGCTCAGCTTCCTGGTCATTTTCTTTGTGATAAATCGAGGCACAGTGGAACCCAGCAAGCAGCAGAGCACTTCAAGGGCGAGATGCAGCCGCACGCTGGGCGTTGGAGCCTTGGAGGGTTGAGCTGCCGGTCCACAATAAAGAAGAGGGAACCAGAAGTGTCCCTGTGCTTGCTGTGCTGCAGGGTGTCCCCTGCACACCCGCCGTGGCCACATGCTGGAGTATGGTTATTGTGGGCCAGGGTCTGGGCTGGGAGATGTCCAGATAAAGCTCTAGCATGGGTTCAAGGTGTCGCTTCGCTCACAGGAGAGCGGTCCTGCCCCTGCGGCAGCACCTCCACCATGGCCTCCAGGGTGTTTAGTGGTACCCCCATCTTCTCTGGTTGCGCCCCTTCCTCTGTCCAGAGCTGCAGGTGTTTATAGTGGCAAAGTGGTGTTTTCAAAAGGAGCCAAGTTACAGAGATGGGTTGGTCACTGTGGTAACCGCAGGGCCAGCAGAGGATGAGACGTCTACCCATACCATGTGGACCAGCGTGGGGACCCGCATGCTGTTCTGTCCCTGCTAACTGAGAGACAGAGCCACAATGGCCACTTTCCCCACTCCCCTTAGAGGAGCATCTAAATCTTTTCTCTTTTCTTGTTTTCTTTTTGTGCTTTTGTTCTTTCTTTTTTTTGAGACAGGGTCTTGCTATTCAGTTCAGGCTGGCTTTGAACTCACAGTGATCTTCCTGCCTCAGCCTCCCAAGTGCTGGGATGCCAGGCATGCACTCACCATGTCCAGCAATAGTTTCATTTTAACCAGAGTGCAAAGCCTGGATGAAACCCAGGGAACCCCAACTCTGGGAACTCAGGTGAGGGAAGGCACTAGCGAAGGCTTTCGGGTACATGGGATGCCACACCCATGACTTCCTGCTAGTGAACCTGCTTCCTGTTTTCCAAGCACATGAATGAGGCCCAGGTCTCAGGGTCCCTGCATTTCAAATGTTTGAGCTCAGGACCACATGGCTGCTGGGTGATAGATGTCCCAGTTTGGAAGGCCTGGAAAGTATTCGGTGACCCGCCAAGGTGGTTGCTTTGTAGCTGCTCGGGTTCAGAGTTAATATTCTGTTGTTAAGGAGAACAGTTCATTGTCAAGTTTTCAGAAAACCTGGGAATAAAACTATTCCCCCACCCTTTTTTTTGTTCTTTTGAGACAGGGTCTTGCTGTGTCATCCAGGCTGGTTTTGAACTCATTATGTAGCCCAGGTTGGCCTTAAACTTGTGGTGATCCTCCTGCATCAGCCTCCCGAGTGCTGGGAGCACAGGCCTGCACCCCCAGGCCCGGCTGTTGAAACTGATTCTTTTAGTACCCACTAGGGCCCCAATTCACCAAGAAAATCTGTCTTTTTCTCCAGGTGCACTTAGAACTACCTCCCAGCTCCTCTGTGGTGCAAACCCAGGAAGAATTTAACTTGCTCAAGTCAAGCAACGTGAGCCGGTATGAAGTCCTTAAGGAGATCTTGGACGCCCTGGGCCTGAGCTGCGGTACCCAGCAAGCTCCTGCCTTAACCCCTCTGCACTTACTGACGGTCGCTGAGGTGAGTGGGCTCCTCGGGGACAGCGTGCCTCCTCAGGACCTCTTCTGTGAGCGTCCTGTTTCAGTGGACAGGCTTTTGATGACTTTTGATTACTTGTTGTTGTCTTGAGGCAGGGTCTCACTGTGTAGTCCAGGCTGGCCCTGAACCCATTATATAGCCCAGGCTGGCCTCAAACTTGTGGCGATTCTCCTGCCTCAGATTTTCGAGCACTGGGATTACAGGCATGTGTCCCCATACCAGCTTCACTATTGATTTCTGTTTTAGAGTTTGTGTGTAACAAGGGTGGGTGGCCATGGAGTTGGGTGGGTGTTGAGTGTGCAGGTCATGGCCGTTCCCATGGGAAGATGATCCCAGGGGTGTGGCTACCGCTGCATGTCTGTGAGCTTTCCACCACAGATCACAGAGATGTTTGAAAGGAGACTGCGTCTGTTCTGAAACCATGCAGGTCCTGTACTTGAGTACAGGGTCTCGCATGTGCTAGGCGTGCTGTGCCACGGAGCTACTTTCCCAGCCCTTTTTCATTATTTGTTTGGAGACAGGCTCTTACTAAGTTGCCCAGGCTGGCCTTGGATTTGTGACCCTCCTGCCTCAGCCTCCTGGGTAAGAGGGGTTATAGGTGTGTGCCACTGTGCATGGCCAGACCTCTTCCTGGCTGTTATTCCTGGAACAACACAGTGCAACACTAGCGGTGCACATAGCATTTCTGCTGTAGTTGGTGTTCTAAGTCCTTGAGAGATGGGTGATGGAGGCTGTGTGTAGCCAATATTGTGCTGTTTTCCATGAGCGCCTTGAGGTTCTGTGATTTTGGTGTCCATGGGAAGGGAGCACTGGAATTGGCCCGCTGTGGGGAGCACGGGGTGATGGAACCGCAGTGGGTTGTTTCCATCAGGGGTTTTCTCAGCAGTCTTTGGAGGAGGAAATCACTGTCTCAGTGATGCTCGCATGCGCCACCTCGTGGCCATGGAGCCTCAGGAGTTCAGTGTCTGGCTGCCTTGGCGCCTGGGAGAAGCCAGCCTGAGTGTCCGCCTGCAGGGCCTGAGTGATGCCTGGCTTCCTGCAGGTGCCGGATCCCCAGGTGTGGGCTTGTGCTTATCCCCTCTTTCTGACACGCTGTCAGTTTCTCAGTCATTATTTTTCTCAGTCATTGTGGCAGATTGTTCTGCCTGTCACCAGCGACATGTGAGCAGAGCAGTTAGCCAGGGAGTCTGGGCAGTCTCAGGAGGCCGGTTGACCCTGCATCGCCCCAGCCCTGATTTCCCCAGCGGACAACAGACCCAGCGTTCATCCCATTGCTCACCAAGGAGGAGGCTTTGTCTTTCAGCTGGTACTGAAAGATGCTCGGTATAGGGAAAACCCAGGAGACACCTTACAGGATTATTTGAAGAGTAGATTAAAAGAAAAATGCGTGAAAGTTCTACATAAATTGTATTATTTAAATGATAAGGTCATTATTCTTTTATTGAGACAGGATCTCACTGTATAGTGCAGGCTGGTCTTGAACTCACAGTGATCCTCCTGCCTCGGCCTCCCGAGTTTGGGATTACAAGTGTCCATCATGCCCAGCAATAATGTTATTTTTTTATTCTTAGGTTGTTGGGAGGTTGACTGAGCTAAACATATAAAATGTTCCTAACCAATGTCTGGTTCCTAATTAAAGAGACTAATGTTTCCATTTTCAAAAGGAGTAATACAATAATGGGTACTTGTTTAAGAAACCTTTTTAACATCTTATTATAATTGTTTTTTTAATTCTCTCCCTCCCCAGTAGTTCAAATTAACCATTCTTATGTTTCATTTTTGTTGCCTCGTTTTAGCCAGTTTGCACTGTTTTTGATGGACGCGCTGGGGAGCTAACACTCCAACTTTTGTTTTCGTGTCAGGAACTCAGAGCTCCCATCATTTACTTTCTGTTCGGTGTGTTCAGTTAATACATGCTGTGGCTTTACAAAGCTATCAAAATAATGCCACGCTGCGGGGCTCTGGGTCCCGCAGGCACAGGGCTGGCTGTGTGGCAGGGCAGCAGGCATGTGTGGGTGAGGTCGAGCTGGTTGTTAGGCCTGGGCTTGGCCCGGCCTGGGTTTCACCGGGGCCATGGGACAGAGCCAGGAGAGGAAGGTGTCACCTCGGGTTGTTACCTTCCTGTGGGCAGACGAATGGGAGCCTTGGCTTTTGTGGTGGGTTTGCAGGGCGGGGAAGCCTGCAGTCCTGACACTGAGGCTTGTCGTGGTGTCTTTTCAGGAAATCACACGATAGGGGCTTGATGTCTTTGAGTTTACAGTTCTGTGAACTGCCTGGGGCACCTGGGTTGGGCGAGATTGGTTTCTCCTTCTTACCAATTGGGGGAGAACAGGGGTTCGCGTGCGGTGGAAGCAGGCGTTTGCTGTGCTCACAGACATGCGTGCTCTGCAAGGTCACTCTGGCTTAGCTCCCTTTCGTGGTTTTAAATTTTTTTTCCTTTGGTACCCAGAATGGAACTCGGGACCTTGCGCTTGCCAGGCAGGCACTTATGTACCGCTGAGCTATATCCTGGCCCTACCCTTCCCGTCTTGCTTTGGTCCCGGGCCTGGCCTTCCTGTTGATCTCTGCCTGCTTCCCGCTTTTCTGCGGGAGTGCTAGGAACTGCAGGAGCGCATTTCCAACTTCTTGCCTTTTTTTTTTTTTTTGCTGTCCTGGGGTTTGTACACAGGGCCTCCTGTCACATGCCCAGCCGCTTCTCTCCCTTTCTGAGTGTTTTTAAACTCTTCTTAGAAGACCTTGCAGGTGCTGCAGAAGGAAATGCTAGCAGCTTTCTGCTGAGTTTTCCTGGAATAGAAGGGTTAGTGTGTGCAGAGAGTTGAACGTAAACAAAATCATGCACTGAGGTGGTCTTTTGGAGGCAGTTGGACAGGTTCTTTCGAGCCTCCCAGAAGCTGAGGCTGAGACATCACCCGGTGTCTCCTGGTTACTGCGCTGTTGGCTCTGTGTTTGTAGACACGGACCACAGACATGGGCAGTAGAATCGGGCTGTGTCTTTTACTTGGTTTTCCTTCCTGCACCACACTTGATAGATCCCGTGGATCTCCGCAGAATGGAGTTACAGTAAGAGGCTCCCACCTTACCCAGACTGGGTGTCCTAGGCCACTTTCTGTTTTTTGTTTCTTGTGAAATATGCAGCTCCTAGAAATCAAAGTTCTTACCACGAGGTGTCGCTGCTGAGCTAAGCTGCCTGGCACACAGATCCCTAGGACCATAAAGCTGTTCTTTCAAAATTTAATTTTTTCTCTCAGTATCAGTGTGGCATAGTACAGTTTTGAAATTTTCTGGTAAATTGGTGGCACTTTCTTTTGGGTCTGTAAAAATTACTTGAAAGTCACAGTTCATAATATTCATCATTCATTCCACATTATTGGGCACTAGATCTAGTTATAGTACGTGATACGAAAGAACAAAATAAACACCAGAATTGTCTGAATTCTCTCCTGCCGCCAGCTGTGTTTATACAGTTTGGAGCCAAGACACTGCACTCCATAGCAAGAGTCACGGATTTATGGAGCATCTCTGTGCTTCGTTTTTACTGCGAGGCTGGTGGGAAAAAACCACCGTGTCCCTAGGAGGAGAAATTCAGCCAGCGCAGTGGGCTCTTGGTGTTTGTCGGGGACGCATTCCGAGCCTTCACTGGTGCCTGAGCACCACGGCAAGCATGTGACGCCTGCAATAAAATCCCATCATGTATGACTTTGTCAGCATCACCATGCAGGACAGGAAGGAGGGACAGGGTCCACTGAAGTCCAGGCTCTGGGTGGCCAAGTGCAGCTCCTTCTCTGGCTGGCTTCCTCATATTTAACTCAGCCTTCCAGGGGCAGGGTGGGAACCCAGGCCCCAGCAGGGTTCCAGCGTGTTAAACTTCGAGACCCAGGAACACACACGTAGCCCCAATCTCCATCCCTGGCAACAAGACAGGCAGGAGGGGTAGCACACATTGCGGGGTTTTGGGTGGTGGGGTAGTGCCGATCTCAGTCACCCTTAAAACGTCCTCTGTGTTTCTAGATTGTCTGTAGTGATTGTGTGTTATTTTTTATAGTGAACCAAAGCAATTTTTAAAAACTAAAGAACACTTAGGCGTGGTGGTCACACCTGTCATTCCAGCACTCAGGATGCCGAAGCAGGAGGGTCACCTGAGTCTCAAACCAGCCTTGGTGACACAGTGAGTTCCAAGCCAGCCTGAGCTGCATTGTGAGAGCCTGTCGCAAACACACTTCCTCCTCCCCGGCTTCCTTTCTGCAGGCATCACTGGGGTGGAGATGGGGGAGCTGCATGGCTGGCACAGAGCCTGGGGACTGACACTCCGTGGTCTCTGCTCGACATGTCCTGCCTTGGTGGGTGATGGAGTTAGCAGATGACCTTTACCGTGGTGGGACACCAGGCTAGATTCGAACTCACAGTGATCCTCCTGCCTCTGCCTCTGCCTCTGCCTCTGCCTCCCTAGTGCTGGGATTACAAGCCTGCAGTACCACCTCCAGCTTGATGTTAAGTCTGAGGGTTAACGGTTTTCTAGAAAAGCTATAGTCCTTTCCCTTGTAGAACACCAGAAAGAACATAATTCCTTGATGTTGTATAGGAAAATTATCATAAACTTATTTTAGCTTTGGCACATGCATGTAATCTCAGCACTTGGGAGGCTGAGGCAGAGGGTTATTGTGAGTTTGAGGCCAGCCTGGGCTACATAGCAAGACCCTGTCTCCAGAAAAATCCACTTAAATTTATAGAAAAATACAGTTCTTCCCATTTCAGAAAACAGCCATCTCTTTTTGATTTCTCTGCTTCTGTTTCCACTTGTTCTCTGCCGGCGATGGCACAGAAGAGGGCCTGCAACCCTGCACTGGGGGTCTTGAGGACCCTTCACTGGCTGACTGAGACTGGCTGGGTCCTGGACCTGTCACCGGGACAGAGCTGTCCCCACCCAGAGTCACCTGTCTGCATTTTTAGATGTAAGACACCCTCCCCCAAGGATGGTGTGTGGC